TTAGTGAAAAAAAAAAAAAAAAAAAAAAAAAACAGATGGGTTCAGCTCAGCATCAATATAATAGCCTTTTTGAGTGCTTCGAAACGAAGCATTTAATGGACAAATTACAGCAATATAAAGAGGAAAGGCGAAAAGAGAAGCAGACAGAGTGTCTGAGAAAGCTCCCTCTGCAACAGCCACAAGCCACATCTACCAACGCCCTAAACCATCTAGGCGTTCTTTTATCGCTCTGTTTAGGAACATCAACGTTAGAATGGTAAGGTATTGTTTCTCTCATAAATTTCCTTTTACAATCACTCAAAACATCACAAATCAATGGAGATATCCTCCCTAACCTATAATATACTCATGATTTTTCCATAAACTTTGGCTAATTTCACAGGGGTTGATGCAGCAGCTAAACCCTTTTGTTCAAATCACACATAATTTAGATGCAATGGGCTAGCCAAGCGATCGACTCATGTTCCTGGTTTCTGGATTCTGGGTATGTTTTGGGGCTCTTATTGGCAGCGATAACAAGAACATTGGAGTCTGGGTTCTCTCTAATCCGTTCATATATTTACCTTAATCGAAAAGGGTCTTTCCCCTTTCCCATTATATGCGAAGAATCCTCAGATTTTTCCCAAAACCGTAGAAATCTCGTAGACAATAACAAAAACTAGGCCTTAAACGTCGCTATTCCAAAAGGGTCGATCTCTTATCGATCAGGTTTTGAGAAAACGAATCAGATTCGTAAGAAGAAACTCAGCGGACAACAGATCCAAACAAAACAGAGCAACAGAGAGGATCAAAAACGAGAAAGAAAAAGAGAAAAAAGAAGGAGAAAAGGCATCACCATATCCTCAGCCCTCTCTCATCGCCCCGTATGAACTTCGCACGGTTCTGGATTCATACAGAGAAGACATGGAAGAATCCAAGTTGAGTGAAACGCGTCCATTTCTCAAAAGAAAGCACCAGAAATAGGGTGGAGGGAAAGGGGAATGGGGAACGAGAGAGATTAAAATAATCACTATGGAGCAAGTGAGATAAGATCAAATCGGGTGTTTCCTTTTCTATGCCCTCTCCATTAATGACACGACCTCCTTTCCGAAGCTTCCAAATCCCAGTGGCACTCGCGATGATCCGTACCCGCCGCTCATCCCTCTGTCCTCGCAACCGATTAAGAAAAGGGCAAACAGAAATCCCCTAATCCATAAATCCCCGCTTTCCCCATTTCATTAATCTTCCCAATATCCCATTTTAATTGCTACCCATTATAGATAACAAAGCAGATAATAATGCCTCAAATAACCCCGACAGCGAGCCATCAAATGTAAGAACTAATTATGTCAACCTAATCTCTATTTAAAAATAAAATATAACCAAACTTCAATCGACCCATTATTCTATTTCTTTTTATTTGTTCAAACAAATCTTAATTTTCTTTTTTAATTCATGAAAAACAATCAACTTATATATTTTAATACCCAAGTAAGTGGAGGAAGAACCAAACTTTTTCTTTGATTCTTATCCCATAAATTGCTTGAATGGTTAAGAATTAGTTTATGAATTTAAAGGACAGTTTTTATGGGAAAATGTTGCTTTAAAATTATGCAGAATCATTTTGTCTCAATTATTAGAATCATATGTTTAGGAACAGCATCTCCAATCCCCCACTCTCTCTCATTTTCCATTTCACTGTTCATCTCAATAATTTATTTTCTCTCTGACCCCAGAAATAAAGTTTGTAAATCTAGTGGGAGGAATGAAAATGTGGAGTGTTTTTTGCCTTATTTTCTCTCTCCATTTTCCCTCTCATTTTCTCAGGAAACAAACAGCCCGTAATGAAGAACAGTCGCACAAACAAACCAATTCAAAAACTAAAAAAAAACCCATTAAACAAAGATCAGTTAAGTAACACATCAATATGGAAAAATTGAAACTTTATGCGATGAGAACTCTGAATTAACCTCATGATTGAACAAACCCATATCATAATTTTTAGAGAGAGAAACAAATTCAAAGTATTCACAGAAGAGAGAGAGAGAGAGAGACTAACTGGTTGTGAAGCTTTACAACAATGGCAGAGATGGCTTCCAAGGAGGCAAATGAGGAAGGTTAGAGAGAGAAAGTAAGAGAGAGAGAGAGAGAGGAATTTGGGTATGAGTTTATGGAGGAAGGTGGAGTATTTATATGTTAAATGATTAAAAAAAAATTAAAAAAATGAAGAGAGAGAAGATAGTGTAAGGAAGAGAGAGAAGGAAAATGGATGGGACCTTTTTGGTTGTTACATATCTTCTCTCAATCTTCCCTCGATTTCGTCTCTCATTCCATCAATAATAAACTTCTTTCATTTTTACCATTTTAACCCCGCAACCACTCGATTAACTTTCATTATTTCGATATAAATTTAAAATAATATTCCGGATCTCATCAAAAATACATTTATTAAACGCTATAATAGTTTTACATACTTTTCCAATATTATCATAGCCTAAATTCTCGTCGACATGCAACAACGTGTATATCATTTTATCTAATGGGTTTGAATAATTTTCGTGCATCATGTATACATAAAGGAATGAATTTAGGTCTTATAAATTCTTTTGGAATACCGGAATATATAGACTTTTTGTGAGTAGTAACGTTGATGGGATAAGACCTAAGACTTGTTAACTTATTTAGAGGTAGGTTTGAAGCGATAATCAAACTTCGACCTATCACAATTGATACTGAGTAAGTAGAGTTAAGTCCCGACCCAGATACGATGTATATAGTCATAAAAAGAGACCAAACAAACTTCATCAAATGAGTAAAAATAAAATAAATAATATTATAAAGAAAAAGTATAAAATATAATTTAATTCTCAAATTCAACTGATTTTTCTTTTTGTTGTCATATATATATATATATATATATATATATATTTATATATGTTTCCATCGACATACTGTTGCTATCGTGACATTTTATGGGACCTGACTCATTTCTTCCACCTTTCATTTTCACCCATAAATAAATAATAATTAAAAAAAAACATAAAGAATTGGACAGCCACCTTTTTTTTTATTATTATTATTTATTTTTACTTTACTTTCAATATAATCTGTTCGAAAATAAAATAAAAATAGCAATAATCTTTTTAATTTTAAAACATTTTATTATTAATAAGAAATAATAATAATAAACTATCCGCTTTTTAAGTTTAACCATTCAAAAATATCAACTTTGGATCGTCAGCTAGGGTTTAGGGTTTAGGGTGATGAAATTTGAGTATATATGTCAACTCGAACATCACTCAACTGGTTTATACTCATATTCTCGACCTAATAATCAACGGTTTGAATCTCCCAACTTCACACGTTGTTAAACGATATAAATTTCAATGGGTCGAGATATTTCTACCTATTTTTCAAAGACGTAAATTATAATTATCGTGTTACATTTGGAATATATTAATTAAGAATATTAATAAATTGAAACACTTAAATGGGTGTGGGGAGGTTTTTATGATACTTTGGGCGGACTATTTGTGACTGCATGTTTACAGCACAGACGTGGAATCAGTTGGACCTTTGATTAAGTAAATGTGGGCGTTATTCGACGTTTTTCATTCTTCACCGAATTACACGAGCAAATTGAAGACATGATAGTAAATGACATCAGGACGTAGAAAGAAGCACAATCGAAGAACAAGAACAATCGATTAAGCTAATTATTGTAGAGTTTCTCGAGGACGTTAATGAGATGTTTGGTTGTTAGTAATAAATTTAAAAATAAAAATAAAAAAACAAAAAACCAAACCGAAGTTCCCCACTTCCACATGCCTTCTTGTTTGCATCTCTTCAACACCCACTTGACTTTGCAATCAATCCTTTGACTTAGGGATTTTGCACTTTATGCCAAATCCCACACAAATCCCAACATTTAATTACATAATTTTTTATTTAATATATTTGTGTTCATTAAACCGTATTGAAAAAGTGTTTGGTGTCCATTTTCCAACCAAATAATTTCTAAATTTTATATTTGGTTGCCTTTTAGATGCTTCACTGGCAATTCAACCTTATTTTAATTAATATTTTGAAGATTATAAAGATTTTGTATGGTTGTTTAATCAACATTCATAGAGATTAACACCCTAATCATATTCTAAATTAAAAACGGATTAACAGAGACCACGATCTTCAATAATTTACCTAATTCACGATCTTCTCTAAAATTAAAATAAAAAAACATCTGACAAAATCATACCCACCTGAAATTTTTCAATAATTTATTAAAAAAATTTTAAGAGCAATGATCTTCGAGAATCATTTATGTTATTAATTAAATTCCCATTTAATAATTTTATTCTTTTCCCCCTTTTCAGCTTCCACATGTTTTCTTTGTCTAATATGTTTATGTTTTTTCTAATAATTTAAATATGAAAGAAAAAAAAAACCAAACATAAATACTAGAGTTGTACCTAGGTTGACTTGATTCTTAACATGTTTTGTTCTCTATAGTTGAGTTATCGAGAAAAAAAAATGTATCTTGTTGATATACGTAGTAATTTTCATTTTATTTACGTCTTTGTCATCTTATCACGAGATTACTCTCATTCGGATGTGGTTTTGGTTCATTCGCTTACGAACAAATGAAAAATCAACCAAATTTAACGAAGTACTAATATTAGATACAAATTTATGAATATTTAAAAAAAAAAAAAAAACACAACCATAATCTTTTGTTTCAACGAGAAACAAGAGTGTTTTTTTTTTCTAGAAGAAATGTTATTTAAATTTTAATTATTTAGTTACTTTTGGAATGTTTATCGTCGTAAAGTTGGAATTGTCGTTTTGAATGCATCTGATTTCCGTGACATAATTAGTTAATTTCTTTATAACTGTCTAATGGAAAATTCACATTATTAAATTCGTAAATAATTCATTATTAAATAAAAAATAATCATATATATATATATATATATATATATATAATGTAGCAAAAATGGTAATTTTTTAATCAATAAACTGTCATGTTAAGAAAGCAACAAATAATTAAATCATTATCCATCTAATCAATTATATTTTATAGTTTTTTTATTATTATTTTAATACAAAACTATCATTCACTGATTTGTACTGACTTTTCTTAATTACAAAAAAAAAAAAAAAAAAACGATTCGATTGAATTTGGTTGGATGTCAAATTGCTTAATATAATTTTCAAGTTTCTAAATCAAGCCCCACTTCATTTTTTTTTGAAGTGATAGAAATTATAGTTTTTTTTAATATATAAAAAATAAGATTTTCATTTAAAATTTATATATATATATAATATAAAATAAAGTATTTTGTATCGGTTAAACTCTTCAACTAGTTATAAAGGTACGTTGTTGAGCTAAGTTCAAATTGGTTAAATTATGAGTGTTTTTAGGTCAACTAAATTATTATTTTAATAAAAGTTAAGGGATCAAATGTGTCCTCGACATTTGTTTATTGCAACTTCATTTAAAGTCGAACTTATGGACAGGAGCTATAACCTTAATATGGACGAATTTAAGTCTTACCCTTTACCTCAAAGTGAGGGGACAAGTAGTTTCCTTTTGCCTACGATTAGATGAGAAGACCTCACATGAGATCTCACATTTGTGGTGGAAGAGTATAACGAAAAATTTGTTATAAAAGTGTGGAAATCTTTTCCTAATACATGTATTTTTAAAACCCTAGGGTTGGCGGTGACACGTAACAAACCAAAGCTGACAATATCTATTAACGGTAGACTTAGGCGGTTACAAATGATATGAAAGTCAAACACTGAAAATTTTCTCATAAGAGTATGGAAACCTCTCCCTAACAGATGTGTTTTAAAACCGTAAGATTGACGGCAATACATAATGGACCAAAACATACAATATTTACTAGCGGTGGACTTGGATTGTTACGTGCCAAGGCGTTTGCATTCCCAACCGCTCCGACGAACAAGAAGAGTGGATTTGATTTTCATGTGAAGTAGGAAGGTGCAATATTTGATGGTTCCCTTAGAAAAGCCTTCAAACAGTACTCTTCTTTTTATGCTTCTCTATCAAGCGGTTTTTCCTCCTCATCTGTCCCTATCCCCAACCCTAAACCCTGTTGCCAAGAAATTTCTCTTCTTTCCTTTTCGTTTCCGTTCGGTTCGCCTTCATCTCTCTTGTTCGGTTCTTACATCTATATATACGTTGGTCTTACGTCATGGAGTTTCAAATCGATATCAAATTCAATGCAT